TCATAATCAATACTTAGGTGTAATCAGTTCTGAAACTTACCAGTAGGTGACAGCCTTGAATCTTCAGTCATTGGTTTTCTCTTACAGTACCCATCAGTGAATACATAATGTATCATTGACAGCTCACTACTTGTATTAAACTATCGATCTGAGTATGTTTTTCCCTGACTCGGTAATACAACTTTTCCGAATACTCAACCAGAATACCAGTGTCTCATAGATTATAATGATGACTTAAAAGATTTATATCCAGCTTTCCACTTCTATCATGAGATAACCAAAGTGGCTTACAGAGACAATTTTAAAATCTACCTATATTATTATTATTATTATTATTATTATTATTATTATTATTTACTTTATATCCTCCCAAGGGAGCTCAAATCAATAATGTTAAACACACACACACACACACACACACACACACACACACACAAAACACCCTACAAAAAGTGTAACAAGGAAAGCAACAGTGCAGTTATACAAATCCAAGACCAACAGAAAATGGAGGATCATGCCACATTTAAATGCCGGGCTGCCAGATCACAGATCACCTGTTAAAACTGAAATGGTCTGGTCAGCCTGTAAGCACTGCCAATGAGGTAGGTGATTCCACATACTGGGCACTAGCACAGAGAAGACCGTTCCCTGTGTCACCATCAGATGAACCTCTGGGGAAAGGGGGAAAGGGCGCCCCCGATCTAAGTGGACAGGAAGGTGCATATGGGAGGACTTTAAGGGTCCAACTCCTAATTAGTGTTGGGTTTTAATGGATGTTTTTTCTCTCACCTAGCATTCTACAGCAATACAAACAACACCTGAATGTTAATCATTCTTTTAAAACTTTGGATTTAGTAAGACTAGGATGCAATGAAGGCAGTATCAAACCCACACACAAGGGCTCAGTAAGTTGAGTAAGCAAATGAAATGCATCCCCCCAGCTGCTTTCTGACCTAGAGAACTCTTCCTGAGGAGGGACATAAGTAATCACATTGCCCCACTGATTCCACCCCCCCTTTTAAATGTCACTTTTTTATTTAGAGAACAAAAAAACACATTTTTATCCCTGTTAAGAACAAGGAGATATTTAATAATAACTAGTAGAGATGTTTAAAGGAAGCCATCCAAAGAAATTACTTACCCTGTGGGAGATAATTTTCCAGGCTTTTACTCTAGGAGATGGCAGCTCGGGAGTGCCAATCATACTGTGTTGCCCCATAACTTGAAGGCAACCCATTAGTTAAATGGTTAAATGGAGAAAGTATAAGTCTCCCTTTGATGAGACTGGGGAAACCTCTCTTTCCTCTTATATTAAAACAAATCTGAATGAAGTCCTAATCCTAAAGCTATTTAGTTTTAAGCCAGACAGGGAGACACAAGCTGAAGCTGCAAGCAAGCGTGGTTACTCTGGTGTGTTTGTATCTGTCGTCCTTGAGCCCTGAGAGCATCCTTGAGAACGCTCATAAAATTTATAAAGACCAGCAGTATTTCAAAGCTTAGAAGAGACACAGAGCACATTTACAACCACAGGCAAAATAAGAGGGGGACTTAAAGCAAGCAATTAATATTTATACAAGGACACGGAAATTTAGAATTAGACATAGAAAACAGAAGAATGCAAATCAGCATTGATGATTGGCATTCAGCCAAGGCAGATAACATGGAAGAGTTCTAGTTCAATAGGTAAAACAGGATCCAGCAGTTTCACACAGAAGCCAAGACAGGCTTCTTTCTGCTTTTGTTCCCAAAACCAGCCCAGATGCATTTGATCAGTGAGCTTTCTGCCAATCCCTATTACAGACAAAACCTCTTCAAAAGAGTCCTGGTATTAAATACAACAAAGTGAAAGGAAGGGACTGACATCAGTTCTAACCCATCCTGGATCTTCTTCTGGGAGTTTCCAGAGTAAAATATTCACACTCAGAATTCCTAGGACATCAATTAATTTCCTGTAGAATCCCACACAGGTGGGATCTAACAAACTGACTGCAGAAGGAAATACCAGTACTGTATGTATTTTTCATTTGATTGTAGAAAGTACAGTTGCAGTTTGGTTGAGAAACTCCACATGCAAAACAAGTGCTGTTCCCTGCTCTTATGTGGTCCCGGCGGCCACTCCCAGTCACCAGTCTAGCTACCACATTCTGGATTAATTGCAGTTTCCGGGTCACCTTCAAAGGAACCACCGTATAACAGTGCCCCCAGCCCCTCTAGACGGTCCAGAAGGATGTTATGGTCGATGGTGTCAAAGGCCGCTGAGAGATCCAGCAGAACTAGGAAACAGCTCTCACCTTTGTCCCTAGCTCGCCGGAGATCATCAACCAGTGCGACCAAGGCAGTTTCAGTCCCATGGTGAGGCCTGAATCCCGACTGGAAGGGATCCAAATGGTCCGCATCCTCCAGGCGTGTTTGGAGTTGTTCGGCAACCGCTCGCTCAATCACCTTGCCCAAGAATGGTAGATTTGAGACTGGGCGATAGTTGGCCAAATTGGCCGGGTCTAAAGATGTTTTTTTAAGAAGCGGTTTAATGACCGCTTCTTTCAGTGGGTCTGGGAAAGGCTCCCTCACAGAGGGAAGCATTCACCACCCCGCAGAGCCCATCACCCAGCCCTTCCCGGCTCACTTTTATCAGCCAGGATGGGCAAAGATCAAGGAGACAGGTGGTCGGTTTCACTTGTCCAAGCAGCCTGTCCACGTCCTCGGAGGTAACAGATTGGAACTGATCTAATGTAACAGGACCAGACAGAACTCTAGCACTCTCCCGCCCTGGCCCTGCTCCCACGGTGGAGTCTACCTCCTTCTGAATCTGACTGACTTTATCTGCAAAAAAACTTTGCAAAAGCATTGCAGGAGATCTTGGGGTCCCTACCAGGCCCCGGTGGTATAGGTGGTTCCGATAGATTGCGGTGGTACAGGTGGTTCCGATAGATTGTGTTGTTATACCATCTCTGGTATTATCTGTTAAGAAGAATTTCAGTAATCAATGCTTTGGTTTGTTTGTTTGTGTGTTTGTTTCATGCCATTATGACCTGCCTTTTGTCCAAGAATCTCAAACTGGCATACATAGTTATTCCCATTTTAGCCTCATAACAACTGTGAGATAGGTTAGGCTGACATTCAAAGCTGCATTCCAACTGAGCAAAGACACTCCAGTTGCAAAGCAGGGCCAGTGAAGGGTGTGGCCTGGGGAGAATTATGAGGGCCAGGTAAGGAGTTCTGGAGGGCCACATTCAGTCCCTGGGCCTGTAGCTCCCCACCTCACCCCTGTTCTACACAGCTACTTGCCCAATTATTTCACTGGGGGCAAAGCATATAATTTTTTTTAAAAAAAATATTTATGCTTTTCAGGTTTATACATTTCACTAATTTAACAATCATTTTAACATTTCAAAAACTTGACTTCCTTCCCCCTATTTCTGCGGTTCCTTAAATTTATTTTTAATATCTTCTGCATATCCAAATTAACTTAATTTGCTCATCTATTCATCTACTTTAAATATATACTCTTATCAAGCAGCAAGTTATTACAATAATCCTGCCAGTGTTCTTATCTGTTACAATTTATCTGTAAATATTCAATAAACCATTTCCATTCTTTTATAAAAAGTTTGTTATCTTGATTTCTTATTCTTACCAGAAGCATATACAATTTTTATATGTGACATAAGGCCAGAATATTCTGTGTGCAAGTAGTCAGTCAATGCCCACTGAGTTTTTTCCTCTGTGCATTTGCCATGACTTTTAGAACAGCCCACATACATATAAAACTCTGTTCATGTAGAACCTAGCTTTGTGATTAGGAACCCAATCCAAAGCAGGGTGCTCAGTCACACTCATCAGATCTGCACAAGTACAGTTTGTGTTCACATAGGCCCTTTCACAAATGATGCCAAACATGAATACAGTGGTGCCCCGCAAGACGGATGCCTCGCAAGACGGAAAACCCGCTAGATGAAAGGGTTTTCCGTTTTGGAGGTGCTTCGCAAAACGAATTTCCTATGGGCTTGCTTCGCAAGATGAAAATGTCTTGCGAGTTCCTGCAGGGGTTTTTCCCCTCCCCCCCTTTTTCCCAAGCCGCTAAGCCACTTATCAGCTGATCCGCTAAGCCGCTTATCAGCTGATCCGCTAAGCCGCTTAACAGCTGATCCGTAAGCCGCTAAACAGCTGATCGCTAAGCCGCTTATCAGCTGATCCGCTAAGCCGCTAAGCCGCTTATCAGCTGATCCGCTAAGCCCGCTAAGCCGCTAATAGCGCTAATCCGCTAATGGGCTTGCTTCGCAAGACAAAAAAAACCGCAAGACGAAGAGACTCGCGGAACGGATTCTTTTCGTCTTGCGAGGCACCACTGTAGGTGGGGCAGGTTCCTGCATACAGGTTCTCAAATTGTCAATCCTGCCCCTGTATTAGAGCCTTCAATTCTTAAAATACTTCTTTGGGCAGTTATGAGGGGATATACACATAATCAATGTGCAAAGAGAGTGGAGCAAGCTTAAGAATATAGTCCTGGCCTGGAAGAAGCAACTATCCATATTTCCTGACAGAGCCGGCCCTACCATTAGGCAGAGTGAGGTAGCATCCTTAGGCAGTTGCTTTTGGTAGCAAAGTAGCAAATTGTTGTTATTATAGTGGAATGTTCTACCTCAGGTGTCAAAATAACTTGGTCAGGTTTGCATACTACACACTACCTTGACTTGCTGAAGGAACCGGAGGGAACATGCTACAAGGTAAATTGGGCTGGTCTTAATTTTTGGCTCTAGAATGCAGGAAGCCCCACCTTCAACCCGAAGCTCTATCCCCACTGCTGTAGCTCCAAACTCCAAACTTGCTGTGCTGTCAAGAGGAGAAAATGTGTCCTCTCAATTCCTATTACATCTGGAAAAGCCTCTCTCTGTTCTTGCCTATTCCCAAGAGGCAGGTTTCTCTCAGCATCTGAATTTCCAATGGCCTTCTCTGGTCATGTTGCCATGTGAAACAGATGGGCTGCACTCCCACTCACCTACCCAGCGCAGAGTCCTGGCTCCTCTTCTAACATGCTGGCGGGCTGGCACCGCAGGCTCAGTAACAGCCGAGAAAAGAAGTGTTGTGGTGTAGGTATAGGATGTTGGCCATTAATTCTAAGGGCACACCAGGTTGTTGTCGTCCCCCCCCCCCAAGTTAAAAAGATGGAGAAGACCAATGTTCAAAGGAAGACACTGAAATTAGTCTGGAATTTACCCATGCTCAAATAGTGAGGTTGCTGCTAAAAATCTGCCATACTGATTCAAATCACTGGTCCATCTAGCTCAGTATTGTTTGCAATGACTGGCAGAAGCTCTCCAGGGCAAGAGTCTATTCCAGCCACTCATGGAGATGCTGGGGATTGAATCTTCTATATCCAAAGCAGGTGCTCTGCTACTGAGCTATGGCCTTCTCTTCTGAAAAAATAATGACAAAAGGCCTGTTTTCCCACTCCTCCATTTTTCTTGAGTGGTACCTGCATGTAAGCTCACCAGCTCCTGAATGCTCAAGTCCAGGCAAAGCTTTTATCTGGCAGGAAGTTTGAGAAATCACAGTGGCAATTTACATCAACAAAAGCCATATTCTCTTGGGGTGGGGGTCAGCCATCTTCACATCTCCAAAAGCTGCCTATCCCATTTACCTACCTATGCTCTGGTGGACCAGAATATAGTGACTGCCACTCAATCCAACTGTGTGTGAGAGAGAGAGAGGGGGGGCCTCTTAAAAATGGGCTGTGGTGTGCAGAAATTTGTCCCTCACATTCCATTATCCATCATCAAGCAACAGAGCACCTGCACTGTGTTACTCACGCAATCTGCAACATTCGAACATTGTGGCTTTTCCATCCCATTGCCCCATTTAAAGATTTTGGCTGTCCCCCAAATAATCCAGGGTTCTGTGGTTTGTTAAAGGTGCTTGGAACTATAGCTCCACAAGGGGTAAACTATAATTCCCAGGATTCTTCGGGGCTGCTTTAAATGTATGGATGTGGATGCAATCATAAACGACCAAGTGAAGTTCTTTGGACTCCGCCAGCCTGCCTGTAGTGTTTAAGCATCCCACTTTGCTCAATTTCCAGTGCTGGGAGGATGGGACCAAGCTAAAGGCACATCTATCTTATTTTCACATGCAGGGGAATTATTTCCACTTGGCTTGGAATTTGCTGCTCCACTAATTTTGTTGTCTCCTCAATTGTCCATTGTCCCACATTTCCAAAGGCATTCCCCACCCCCAATTCACTTCTCTCTGCCCAATCCCCCGGGATTCTGGCAGGTACACAAGGAAGCCTATCCATCAACTCAAATATCACTGAGTTTTACAGAGATGAGGGGAGGGGAGAGGCAGAACCGCCTGACCTTTAGAACAACTAAGCGCTCGGGTTCCCTTCCTTGGCTGGGAGATGCTCTGCCTCCCTCCCTGCATTGTAACCTTCTCCTCTCTGCCCCTGCATTTATTTATAAGCACTATCAATAATTGAGAGGCTGACTGCATGTGCACCTCTCCTCTTGGCCCCTGACATTTCCCTATTTCAAACTGCCTCTTCTGGTTAGTTATGCGCTTAATTTCCTCCCTCTGCCTTGTTAGGAATGTCAGAATCACCAGCCCGGAACAAACCAAGGAGTCACATTTCACCTTATTGGAAAGCAAAAGCAGCCTCCTTAGCTCACCTTCTCCTGAGTTAGGGATGACTAGGTAAAAAGTTCAACCTGTCTCAAGATCCCTACAGTAACAGAATATATTGAGGATTCCCTTTGGCATAGTTCAGCAGGGCCAGCTTGATCATGAGGCAAGGTGAGGTAATGGTCTTAGGCGGGGGTTCAGCAAACTGGCCCATACCCTGGCCCACCACTCACATGCCTTATCACCTCCTCTCCTGCTGTTGCCGCTGCCCACCCACCCAATTAAAAATTGCAATTAGAAATGGTGCTGGATTAAACCCTGTGGAGGCCCCAGACAGTCAAAATAACTCCTCCTTCTCTCTTGTGTGTACACTCTAGTGGGATAACACTGAACTAAGAAAGCTTGGCTGTAATTTTCTTTCAAGATCAAATAAATATTATTTTGACCTGTTGTCACAGGACCCCCTAATAGACATGGGGTCCCTAGGCCATGCCTACTCTGCCTATTTGGTAATCTGGCACTGGTTAGAAACCATTCAGCATCTAGCAGAATGCAGTGGGATTGATACAATAGGCAGAAAAATAAGTAAGTGGCCCACCAAGACCCTCAGCCATTTTCTAGTGCTCCATGGAGGGGCAGAGTTTGGGAACCACTGGCATAAGCCATCATATTTCTGTCCTGAATCAGGAACTGTACTTTAAGAAGTCCACCTAGCTATGCTCAGAGGCTGGATTGTTATTCCAGAAAATTGCAGTACCTGGTTGGCCTTGTCTCCTTGCGGTTCCAAAAGTGGCAAAGTAGGCCTGAGATGCAGATGCAACTGAGTTTTCTACCCAGCTGCTGTTAAGAAGCAGACACTCTGCAGCACTCCTATTTCTGTCTTTGGGCTTTCTCTCCCATTCTCCCCATCCTCAAGAAGGAAGATGGGTTCCTACCAGATCTTAGTCCCTTGCAGCCGTGCTGTGCACTGCCTGTTAGCTCCGTGGGGGACCCGGAGAGAATAATAAGAGAGCTGGTTAAAGCAACAGCAGAAGACTGATCTGTCACAGGGAATCACTTCGCCAGGACAGTGATGTGTAGCTTGCGGGCTTCAAGGGCCCGCCATCGTTCGTGGCTACCATTGGAAGGGGCTGAGGATACAAGGGAGAGAGCATCAAAGGACAGTGTCAAGTCAGCAGCCCTGGTAGCTCCCAGGCTGTCGTATCCCATCAGCCCTCACCACTCCAACCTAACTGGCACTGTCCTTGCCAGGCTGGGTGCAGTGAGATGCTTTATCTGACCACTCAGGGCTGCAAGAGCTTCCTGCTGAATGAGGGTTCCTCACCTGAAGCAAATAGAAGCAGAGGTGGAGCCTCTGGTGACGCTGGTCCCCTTATTAACAGCAGCAAGGAGGAAGCAGGCAGAGCTTAACTTGATATCTAGTTCTCAAGTGGAATCATCACTGATGGGGAAGCCCCTCACTCTGGCCATGGGAGCAAGTTAGAGGTGTAAGAAGCAATGCTGCAGCAAAGCCACCTACTTACCTGTTGCTTCAGCAGAAGGTGTCTACTTCCTTTCCCAGTTCAAGCTATAACTTCTTGCCTTGGGTGCTCTGAGGCGTAGGAAGCAGTGGGAGTGACGCTTCAGGAGGCTGAGGCAGGCAAGGGCCCACAGCCCAGCTCCCTAGCTGGCTAGGTGGGTCTCGCTAGCTCTGGGAGGAGGGCTGTGATTCCTCAGCTGGAGTAGGCTTGGAGCAGGTGAGGGTCACATGTCTCATCAAGCCCAGATGCTGCAATCAGCATGCAAAATATAAAAGGGCAGCAGAGTGAGGTGCTTTGTCTGCTCATCTGCCCATGTTGAGGGACCTTGATGCTCCAGGATGTCTGTGGGACTCTATGCCCCACATTGTTGAAATAAACACCTGTCATGATGGGCCCTTGTGCCTCTGTTGAGAGCTAAGACAGGAAGAGAAACTTTGGCACCAGTTAGTTCATCCTGAGCCTCATACCAAAGCCTTACATTTCTCTCTGTCCTTCACGTTCTTGGAGAAAAGGCCTGAAGCAGGATGGAGTCGGGTGGTGATAAAAATGGAAGGCAGCCATTTAGTGCAACGATTAATTAAATTGCAATCCATTTCCATGTTGCCTCTTCTTCCTGACAACACTATTGATATTAGGCCTGCTCGTTACCTCTAATGATCCTATTATGTTTCTTTTAAGTGTTCCCTAACCCCACCCGCTTCCATACTCTAGACTTGAAATTTGCTCCAGACGTTAATCACCAAGCCAGCTTGAAGCCATTTCCCCACCATCTCTTTGGGATTTTCAGTGCAATTGGATAAATGTGCGTCTAAATGTTCCTTTCATTTTTTAATTGCTTTTTCGATAAAACAGAACATGCTCCTTCCTTCAGGCAAGCTGCTAATAAGGGTCTGACCTCTAAAGCGATAGGAAATTATTACTAACTGGATTCTTAAACCAATGGACAGATATGCTCTTATCACCTTACACTTGCAATTCTATATGCGCTTATTTGAGAGGAAGTCCCATTAAACTCAAGTGGGCCTTGCCTCCAAGTCAGTACATGCAGGATCACTCTGCAAAAAATTGCAGCATGGATCCCCCCCCCAGTAATGCACCCTTCTAACCATAGTTGTTTGTATGCAATTTCCACAGATTTCAGTGGGATTTACTTCAAAATGTGGGCTCAGCATTGCAGAGTCTACACTTTTGGTCATATGAGCCTCTCCAGCATCAAACTGCCACCACCAACACCCCACAATTTTCAATATTCAGGCTGTGGTGCCTCTTGCACATGTAGCCAAAACTACACACAAGAGGGAGATATTGGGAACCTGAGATTTGCAGAAGTACAAAAACATCTTTGGGGTGAGGGAACTGCCCAATGAGGAAGGAGCATGTTCAGCAGCCATGGAATGCTGACTGACTGTTGGCAGGAGGAGGCAGAAAATGGGGGGGGGAATAGAATGGAGCACCTAAGCAAGAGCTTTCCAACTGCACTGCAACATTTTGTTGCAGGCTCCACATGCCCAGTAGCGATTGAGAAGGCTCCTGGGGCAACTGTTTAAAATGTCGACAGGTGCATGAATTGACCTTGAAGCCTCTGCTTCCAAAGCATATTCTTGTTTGCTGGCGTGCTTCGCATCTCCTGTTGCTGCTGTACTTTTTAAAAGGCCACTTTGCCTGCTGGTAAACCCCACCTCCCCTGGTGCGATGAGAAGCCACAGGCAAGTGCCAGCAGAGAGCCCCCATGAGATAAACCTCTTCCTGGGCTGCTAAGCACCATTCTGTGCAGAACAATTAAGAGGAGCAGATGGGATGATTCCTGCGCTAGCATCTCTTCCTTTGCTAAAAAGCAGGGAGGAGGAACCAAATCCAATCTAATTAAAGGGTATTTACCATTCATCCCAGAGAC